CGAGCCCCAGCTGCATTGTTATTCCTGCATCCCGACTCAACTCACAGCAAACTTCTGCTGAGTCACAACACTTTTCTATAGCCATTATGTGTCTGTATTCCCCCAAAGTTCTATTGGCTGACATAGTATGCTGTTTGATCCCTTTCTTTGAAAATTATATAGGTATTCTAGATTCACCTTTTTATTTTGAGAGGGTGAGATTATATTTATGTTTCTTACCCTACCTCAAACCATTATTGATGGCTTACTTGAACTCACTCTCAAAGTCTATCCAACTTTACTTTTTGTTCAAACTCCTTTACAGTTGAGCATTAGACACGGGTTTTATACAACGAACTTCTATTTAACCACTGTAGCTTGTGGATGCTGACAGAAACCCCCCCCCCCTTTGCATTTCTGAATAATATTATTTTTTTTAGATTTCACAGAAAGGTGTACATGAAATATTTGTTAAATTACCTATCAGAATTAGTCTGGCAGTCTGAAACAGTCGCTCATCATCCCATTCTGGGTGTTCGCCTTTAAGAATGTCACAGACCCGATTATGTTCCCGGAGCCACAACGTGGCATACATCATCAGCCCTGGAACCAAGCCAAAGACCTCCTGTCCTACAGAAAATTTCAGATGGTCAGGGACGTGGGGTGGATAGATCATTTCTGCCTGAGTTTCTTTCACAGTAGGTGGATACATTTCCCCAGCAATCATCTGTAATTAAAAAAGAGTAAATGAAAATTGAATGGTCATACATGCAATTTATATAACTCAATGCCACTTCAAATACATCAGGTAGAATTGAAGGAGTTTCTCCAGGAAACCCTAAACCCACCTGAAACTTTAGCTTTCCATTCTTAAAAAGTCTTAGTTTCATTTGCCTGTCCAAAGTCTCTCCATAGACATGACTAAGATCAACCTGTTCACGGAACAAAAGACAAAAAGTTAGAATCAGTCCTTAAACAAGACAGAGAGAATACCTATACATAAACTGAATGCCAGCCAGGAATAATGCCTACAAAGTTCTAGGTTCTCTATATCAGTGTTTTTCAACCTTGGCAACTTGAAGATGTCTGGACTTCAACTCCCAGAATTCCCCAGCCAGCCTTTGCTGGCTGGGGTAATCTGGGTGTT